AGACCAAAAGGCGTGCAAATTCGTACAGAAGAAAATCCACAAACTACCGTTTGGGGTGCCGCAGGGCGTGAAAGCATTCGATATCTCGCAATTGGAAGCAATCGTTGAGAACTTCTACAGAAGAATAAGAAAGAATCCAAACTCCGCGATTGCCTACAAAGGCGGGATAATTGAAAGGGATTTATATGGCGCTCGTGCATTCATTATGGGCATATTGACACTTGTTACGATAAACTGATAAAAATCAAAGTATGAACTAACAGAGGGGAAGCATCGCAAAGCATACATAGCAAAATAACTTTTAAAATAAACAGTCCTAATGTTATGAAAATACTATTAAAATGTTGATATACGAAATGTGTAACCTGACAAATAAAATATTTTCCTCGCCAATCTTTACTGTGTACTTAATTACGCTTAAAAACCTCGCACTCGCACTCTGCGTGGAGACCACGCATGTCTTCGGGAAAATCCGATAGTTTCCGACGTCCCGCGTGGGGTCCACGCGTTGCGTGTTTTTGCCGCTGGATGGGGGGGGGGCTACCTACTCTCCTCCGTCAAACTCCTATTTAACTTTCGCAGAACCACCATTTTAGTTTTAAAATGCCGTTCTCTTTGCATGAAGTGCGTCGCATACTTTTAATGAATCTCATTCTGACGTTAACACAATCTTATGTTCTCGCAGAACTACGATTCGTTAAAGTATTCAAGTACCAAGTATTGACATTGCGAATTTCATATGTCATTTCATTTTTGCCGCGATTGCGAACGCTGCGTTTTTAAAACTTTTTGCTTGAACGGTCTGAATGAACCCGAAGCAACATGCAATAATGTCGTTATGTTTAATCGTTTCTCGTCAGTAGTTCCTAACTCAGACCGTGCGAGCTCCACTTACTCCGGCGAAGATTTAAAGGTAAAAATCTTTATCCAAAAGTGCGCAGCGTGCAGCTGAAGACACTCCGCTCCATATAATGAGAACACTACAGAGCAGGTGCTCCAGCGCGGAAAATCATTACAGCTTGTTACTTGGCACCACCACAATTTTTCAAATGAAAAAATGCTGCTAACGGCGCTTATAACGTGTATTCCAAAAAACAGCTTTCAGTTTAGATCTCAATTCTAAGTAAAAAATATCTTGAAGCACAACATTAACCGAACACGCGCACTACGATACGGCTCGTCTGACTGAAGGTCAAGAACTACCATGCAAGCTAAATGTTTGCAAATCAGTTTAGACGAATAATGCTGGTTTGAAAGACTGCGCGTGCGCTGCTTTTAAAGAGTCGTCGTCGATTACTAACTTGAAATCTGAATACGCCAACTCTTTTTGCGCCGCCGAAATTCAAACTCATTTCTCAATTTTATGAAAAGTGCCATCATTACGATGATCATATTGAATGCATGCAGCCAATTTTTTCAAATTCTTTATGCCAAACATAATTGAGGTATCATCATGCACCTACTAAAACCTCACACATGCGACCGAGGACCATGCACCCTAACCATTGAACTTCAACCCTCAGCCTGAATATTACTATATTCACTTCATAATTTTACTCCAGATTTTAGTTTGAAAAATCACGCACAAAATTTTAAAATTTTACGATAGCCATTTATTTAAACTATTCTCAGCAATGACATCAAATGCATTTACACACAAGTGGCAATTTTTTATGAGGGAACACGTGAACAACTCACGAGTGACAACTTTCAAACGGCCAGATCAAAATTTAACGTGCAACGCCAAGAGGTGGGGAACGGTCAACCAAGTGTGTAAAATACATTTGACTAAAACCACCAGGAGATCTCGAACCCGGACTCAACAATAAACTAGACTGGCGGTCAAAAAGAACTGCTCAAAACAAGTTAAAATGCTCTCAAATGAACGTAACTGTCCCTCTAACAATATATAAGAGTAAATATAGACTAGATTACATGCTAAGCTATATGAAATATTAATATTTTGTTGACCCTCCTTCGGCGTGGCGCATATTTTGTTGACCCTACACTGGCGTGGCATACTTTCTGTTAAGGTGGTAATCTTAATGCTCAAAAGAAATTCATCCTATGGACAGTCTTTACAGCAACGCATAAATCATGGACGCTTTATGAATTAATTCCTTTTTTGCACTATCGCTTTCACATTGTCCCACAGATGTTCAATATGGTTAAGGCCTTTTGACTGTGCAGTCCAATCCATTTCTGTCACTCCCTAGTCCCTCTTCCTGACACCATTGTTACTATATCTTGGAAGTGTGGCAGGTTGCATTACATTATTGAAATATTGCTTGGAATAAGTGAATTATCCAAAATTCCTATGAAGCTCTCTCCTATATTCGCTTCTTTATGAATTTGTATCTAAACAGTTCTTTTTGACCACTAGTGTACAATAAAAGATTGATTGTTACAATTCCTGTTACATACGACAATAGCAACATTTGAGCAGTTCTTTTTGACCGCCAGTGTATTTGATTGAAATTCAAAACTTAACTGGAAGTCCTGGATTCGAGAACTGCAGTACTTATAGAACCTATAGTATGAACCTTAGAGTAGTCATCATCTTTACCTGTCATCTGTCATGAAGTCGTTCGTATCGGTGGTGGTCGATCGGTCGTCGCATTTGCCCTCGGTCGTTGCCGTCGAAACTCGTCGTCGGTCGTCTTCAACGCATCAATCATCATTTGTCTGATCTTTACAGTTTACAACCCCTGTGAACGCTTGAAGTTAACGCGTGGAAAAATGCAGAGTTCGTTATTTAGAAATTTTGTTCAATCGCTTTCATAACTTCAATTTGCGTAGTTCAGACTTTCAGCATAGTATTTTGCTTGCAGTATAATTACGATACGTCAAGGGTCTCTCTCTGGCGTAGAAAGATCATCAATCCAGTTTTGTGCCATTTGTAATAAGACGAGTTAACATCTTCAGAATGTTCAGTTTCAACCAACAGAAACAGTTTGACCTCATTTCGTCCAATGTCTTGACTTCATTCTTCACATGTTCCTTTGGCGATGATTTCGTTTACTTTTCTTCATCATTACGTGATACTTCATGTTAAGATCGGATGTAAAGCAATCACAATTCGCACGCAAATGCATAATTTGACCTACATTTTTGTCGAAAATGCTGACCCCAAATACTGTACTTAAAAAGTCAATTCCTTTCATCGTATTTTCCCAGATTTTAAGGATTTTGATGCAAGCTGCATGTATCACAAATACTTGCGTGTCCCTTTTTCATTTCAGTAAACCGATCCTGACTAAGGCAATATATGCCGGCTGCAAACTCCTTGGAAAGGTCGTTTGTCAAACGGATAGTTTTGTCTATAGCTATATATTGCTTCAACACAGAGATACAAATGAGGGGTCCCTTTCACCTGTATTTCCTCAATGTTAGAAGAGGCCAGTTAAATGCAACTGGTTGGAAGCTTATACTGTATGTTGGAAAATGGAAACTCAAGAAAGGTTGACAGAATATTACGCAATAGTCGAGGTATCACATTGCATGCTTCCTGAATAATGTTGGTATCAAATGCCAATCAAGAAGAGAAAATGTTCCCGTTAGAAACGACTTGCGTGTTGATTTTCTACCCTGACTCGTATAACAAAATCTATAGAAATAAATGCGTAATTTGACGGAGAAAATAAAGCAAGGTCTGGAAACAAATCTTAAATCGTCGACCATAAGCATATAGCTTGGTTGTATAGGGAATCTCAAACACGACTCTGAGCATATAGCAAAGTCTTGAAACACGTCTGAAATCTCACTAGACCGTGAACATATAGCAAGGTCTTGAAACACGTCTGAAATCTCACCAGCAGCATATAGCTTGGACTTACCGCGAGTCTACAACATGACCGAAGCATATAGCTGTCCAAGTGTCTGGGAACGAGTGCAAATGCCAATCAAAAAATAAAGACTCAAACAGTATAGGACTTCAATTTTGCGAGTTTCTGCAAATCATTCCAATCATTGCACACTGTAGACCTTCTGTTCAAATAACAAATACTTTCGAGGTTTCAGATGTGCTCTTGAAGTACGAGCCTTCGTAAACACTCTAGTGACATTGCAGTTCAGTTGCCGGCATCGAAACACGCTCCGGACGCTCGGCTGCGTTGCAGGATCTCCCCGAATATCAGTCGGGCCCGCAGGCCTCCTGAAAGATGCACACACAAAGGGCGGCGCCTCCCCCACATGCACACAGCTGACACCCGGGGAAAATCAACATCACAATCGGACATTCGGAGCACGCATCTGTGCAGGCGACTGAACTGTGAAGTAACTGGAGTGTTCTTGATGATTCCTACTTTAAGAGCACAACTGAAGCCTCAAGAGCATTTAGAATTTGCACAAAAGGCGTACAATGCACAAAAATGAAATGATCTTCATGCCCTCACCCCATTGAAGTCCCACTTGCTATCATCAATTTCCTTGACTTTAAAAGTGACACATGCAATTTTAATCGCAGATCAGAAACTTTCTCCGCATTTGCGCACACTTAGCGACTGCCTCAGGCAACTTTCTTAGGATTCCCTTTCAAAATAGCAAACGATGATTTCTGAAAATTGAAAAAATTGTTGTGTAAAAATTTCGTTGCTCGCAAAGACTTTCTGGCACTTTCTGGCACTTTGTGGCTTTACTAGGATACACATGTGTGACACCGTCCCGTCCGTCCGAAATAAAGACAGAAGTGTTAAACGAATTAATATGACGCTAAATCAATAAGTTACGCGGAAACTATAAAATACAGCAAAGTTAACTATCAATTGAAATAACCAACTCATTTTCTACAAATTAAATTAATCAGTTGTGGGTCAGCTTTCTCTTACCTAAAAATATGTGGATTTAGTTTTAGAACATTTTTGAGCTGTGGGTTTATTCAGTTAAACGTGTTGACTCATCGGCGGGGTATTTCCTTAGCTATAAATCAGGTTTCAGATGAACCAACCTTACGCGACGTCCTAGGAATTTTGCGTATTTTCCTAAGGATTTGTTGCTCTAAAATGATAAGGAATGCAAGTGATAAGTTACACGAAACTCATGATGGAAAAACTAGTGATATATTGAGAAGATTTAGCGGCAAAAGGCAAGAAAAATTGGTCCAACGGCAATGCTAACTTTTGCCGTTTAAATTTAACAACATAAACTTGTTGATTCGTGTCGGTGTGATTTAAGAATTGGTTGCTTTTAAATTAATACCAGCAGATTTGTAGCCATCAACAGCGCTATTAAGTTAGACGTCTTGTTAGTTGATCAACGTTTGCTTCTTTCGGACATTTTTTCACGAAATTTTGCTCAAACATCTTCCCCAACAAGAAAATATTCCAATTTCCATACGAAAGCACGCCCAACTCCATGCTGCAAAGTCTTTCCTTCGCGTCATCAAATTCTCTGGTTCTGATTGGTCGCAGAGAACATAATCGCAATGCCATTGTTTTCAACTGGACGTGAACTTGAGTGATTTGTATCAATTGTATGCCTCAGTAAACAAGATTATGCATATGAGGCAACTATTTCACATACGCCAGAAAGAAATAAAGAAACCTGGTTGCGTAACTAAAATACGCCGTAATTTTTCTTCGGATCATATTTTATATACTAAATATTTTATTCATTGACTGGGTCGTGAAGGACGAGCACTGAGATGTTGAATATTTCAAAGAAAGTCAACTTTAATAGAGGTAGGCAATAGGCATTTAGTATACTTCTTGCCACTAATGTGACCGCCTATAATTTGACCAGTCGCCAGTGCGATTTAAATTTTCAATAAAATAATGAAATTCATTGTGAAAAACTGGAAACCGAATTTACTGATCTTTAAAGAATAGACTACACTCGAGCCCCGTTTACACTACACTCAATTTATCGGCACGGCACGGCCAAAATTGGTACCCGTAGGCCGTACCCAATTTTATAAGTGTGCTGTGTGCAGGGGCTGCGGTGGTATGAAAACGTAGTTAACTTTTAACTATATACTTATATTTTGGTGACCGAAAATTTCCATTCTGTTTTATCAAGTACTTGTCTGGCAAAGAAATTAGAAAGTGCTATCAATTAGAAGTACATCAATTTGCAATGCCAAACTGGAATGACATTCAAATGAAAGAATCATTTTACCTATCCGAATCGTGCAATTTAGGATTAAAATTAAAATCACTGAAAACTGAAAAGCAACAACTGAAAACTGCACAATGCAAAAAGTATATACTCTCAGCGTAAACCAGCGCGTGATGTAACTATAGCAAATCAAAAAGAGCGGGCGCTAGCTGTGAGACAGGCACATATCTTCTTGAATCATTAGCTTTGTCAGCATATTAACACCCCCCATGCTTTGTGAGAGTATTGGCATCCTCCTTTTCTGTTCATCTCTCGGCAATAACCCCAGAACGTTCCTCAAGGGACCGGTGATTTTGAAATACTGGAGAAGTTTAGCATAGATTATCCCATACCCAGTGGAAAAGCTGTGTTCCTATTGGCTAAGAGCAGGTTTGTTGAAACTGGAACCCACCTGCAGAACCCTATGTTATGTGTAACTTCCTGAACACTTTTTCCCAAAAAGGCATGAGATAAAAAATGAAAATAGTTGCAGGTTCGGTGAGTCCGTGATTAACGCACCTCGGGATGTTGCAAGTTTCTCGAATTTAAAATTTAAAAGTAATTTAAAAGCAAATTTTGAATTTAAAAGCTATCGGCATCATGGCTTGAGGGGACATACGACCCGACGCTCGCTGGAGCATGTCTATATGTCACGTATTAATCCAGTTTTCTACGAGATCAGTTATTTGTAAAGTGCACTGTTGGAGTCCTGGGGCGGACGTCTTCCACATGCAATAAAAATATGGAGAACAACTGGCTGTCTAATTGTTGCTGATCTGTTTGCGATTTTTTGGGCATTTTCTCTCAAGCAGTAAGTATAAACCGGTAGAAAGAAATATTTACCAATCTTGGTATCATAAAAGCTTAAACTCTGGCAGTTTCCATCATTTCTAATCTAAGCGATTGAGATGGTTCGGCAGTATATTTTATAACGTTATTTTACATTTTGATATTGTGATTTCATTATAAGTTATTGTTTCGAGCAGCTGATGTGCCACTGATCAGAATCTCTTCGTCATTTTGTTGTATCTGTTAACATAAAAATTGAACCAGCTCTTGAATTTAGATTTCAAATTTGAAGAATTGACTAAGAAATTGTAGATTTATTAAGTTTGTAGCAGCACAGATTTCAGATTTGTCAAAGAGAGCAAATTGATTGAAAGGCAGAAGGTTTATATCAACGTTGTCGAGATTTTATTGCCTTGAATTTCAGCAGCTACTAGATTTCACTGATGATGTACTGCCATATTTTTTTCTTGTTGATCACTCAGACTCTGGCATCAAGCAATTTTTAATTATTTTTGCAAAGAACCAAAATCAAGGGTTTATTATATGATGAAATGATCAGCAGCACAAATCAGGCATCTACATTTGAACACAATAAAATTAATGGATTCCCACCTAGCTTGCACTTGATTTTTTTATTTCAACAGCTCTCCATGAGTACTAAGTCTGGCTTCTGTAGACATATTAAAACAAAAGCTTTAATCTAAGTGATATTATCATCTTAGCAATGTTAGGAAATGCAATCTGTAATTCTATGGGTTTGAGTCCTGGCAAGACCTTTCGTATTTCCTCAATTATGTAAATCAAAACTTGTTACAAAACATTGAAAGTACCATTTGCAGGTGTTCATTACTGTTTCAGTATATAATATAACTTTATGTCAGTCAGGTTTATTTTTAATACATTTGTCTTGAACATTATTGCATTAATCGACCATTAGACATACTTTGCCCGGGGATGCCCAACCTGGCCTGGATAAATATTTTTCTTCCTGGCAGCAAGATTTTGAAACAAAAATTTCCAGCTGAACAATTTTAATAATTTTAAACATTCAACTCCTTTCAGTTTACTTGTTTATTTAATTGAAATGAAAACATTCTCTTAAATAAATATGTTCTGTAACCATTTTTCCTAACAATCCATCCTTGAGCCGAATAAAGAGGAAACATAGTAATTTCATATACAATATTGTCAGCATGAAAGTACTGGCTGTAGTACTATATTAGATCATGTAAAATAGATTGAAGGAAACAAATTGAAATCCTGACAGTAGACAAAACAGTGATTATAGGTGGGAAAAAAGTATGAATATTAGCAACATACATGGAAGCCACTATCAAATGTATAAGTTTAAAAGATATCAAACTTCAGGTGCATTCGGTTAACTTAATAACTACTTGTGTTTGTTTGCCAATTTATACAAAAATCCACATTGTAATTTTCTTTATGAGTTATCCCTTCTGTGTTAATGTGCTTTGATGAATATCCAGATATAACAATCGTGTATGGGAGAGGATATTTTCATGCAAAAGAAATGTTCTGTATTCACAAGTGAAAATATTTCATCTCAATTTGTGTTAGTTGTGCTAATTTTAAAGTTGATGTGACAACTTCAATGTTTCATTTAGCATTTGATCATTTTTTGTGTGTCATTCACAGTGAAATATCGTTTGCAAGTACATGATAAAAGCTTAATAGGAATGTTCAAATGGAACAAAAGTTTTTCATATTTCCAAACCCTTTGTATTATTTTGTACTGTAATGTATTATTTTGTATTGTATTCCTATTTGTCAAAGTTCTCAAGGTGATGTATCCCCTGCCCCTCCCAATAGTGTCCTGGCTATTTCATATTTAAAACAATTTATATACATTGCTGCATCAGTAACCAACCTTGAGGTTCCCATTATTAAGACTCGTTCTAACAATTCAAAATTTCAAATCATGTTTTTGTGCGTTGGGTGAACCAGGAAAACAGAATGATTTGTTTCTTCTGTCTTCACTAACATGTCAAGTAAATCCAATTTACGCAGTATATAACAGATTCTTTTTCACAGGCTGAATTATGAAGAAAAGTTATGTTTTTTAACTTTTTTTCCCCCAATTTTTCACTAATTGTGGAAAAAAATGATTATCCTCAAATGATCTTGCCTAGTTATCTCAAGAGTAAAGAGATTAAAAATATATTCTGGAAAATTTTCGGAGAACCCCCTGAATGAAGTTCTACAATCAGGATAAGTTTCTAAATGTTTCAAATTTTCAGGGGTGTTGTTGTTTGTGCATCATACGCGGTAGCATCGTTTACAAAAGTGGAAGGACAAGGGGTTACAGTTTCTACAAAGGAGTCTGTACCCACGGTGTCTGGTGCTTTCACTGGTGCCAAAGCCAATCCTAGTGATACTGCTGCACAAGCTAGTTCTCAAAGATGGGTACCTCCGCATATTTTACGAGAAACAGAAAACTCAAACGACACAATATTTAGAAGAGTCAGAGCGTAAGTGAAACTCTTAAGGGGGCCCACACACACTGGAAGCGATTCGCAAATAAATTCAATTTTGAAAGACAGAACGTTTTGATAGACATGGGTCCCAGACCTGTCAGAATATACTATCAGTCGGCAATTACCGAGAATATCATAACATTGTCAAATTAGCGGCTTTTGAAAACCGAGAATTTCGTAAAAATTGCGTCGCGTTGGCGGATCGCTTCAGTAAAAACAGTGTTTATGATTCGTTCTTTAAGAATTTAATTTCTAAAGTTCAATTGTGTTTTATTTTTATCATCAACCAATAGCAAAGCTTGTTCGTATAGGTACGTGGTGACACTATCGCGTCCTGTGTGTGTCGGCCTTTAGAAGCACAGTTTAGCCTCCTGAATGATGGGTTTTAAGTTGGATGACTACCCTTTCCGTTGAAATCCCATTTTCTCCCACAAAATCCTTGCTTAAAAGTTCGAAAATAAATAATAGATACGTGTAGTGCATTTTTGGTGGGAATAAAGCCATAATTACCATAATTTTTACGGAATTTTATAGGCAGATTGCCGTCCTAACACGATGAATATTTTTACGAAGACCTAAAAGCGACAATATTTTATGTTTGTTTTTATAGAATTCTCAACAAACTAACTCCTGAGAAATTTGAGAAATTAAGTGATGAGCTGCTTCATGTCGGCATTGAAACCAAGTTTATTTTGAAAGGCATTATCCTTTTGGTAAGTGGTTTGTCCGCATACTCTTCAAACATAACAAAATAACAATTTATAAGACCTTGCATGTAGTAGAGAGGCGACCTCCGAGCATATGACTTTATGAGGTTAAGATCTATTTCCACTACCAGTACCGATACGAAAATACATGACGTATAGCCATTACTCTTTGGCAAGGCGGAAATTTTAAAGCGTTAAGATTGTTTATTATATGGCAAGCGGCGTCAATTCGGTGAAATGGAGCTTAGTGATGGCTGAGAAGAATTTTCAGCGCTCCGTTACTTTTCGTAATGGACAGGCGTTAGCGGTAATCCATTACGAGGTGAAAAACAAAGAAATTCTGAATGAATAAGGCACAAATAAATGGCCATGCAGGAAAAAGTGTAATTGCTATTGAAATTAATAAGACGTCTCCAGACAGTTCAGGTAAACTAAATGATTCAATATTTTGTTTTCGTGTTTATCAAATGCGTACTAGCTAGGCTACTAATACGATGCCACATAATAAACTTTTTATTAACCTCGCTTGCTCGGTCTTTACCGAGAAATATCGGACCTCGATCTTTTTTGTACAAACCTCGCTCTTCGAGCTCGGTCCGTTTAAAAAGACCTCGGTCCGATATTTCTCGGTAAAGACGTAAGAAGTGAATAAACCAGGTGGAGTATAGCGGCTATATTCACATCAAAAACTCAATCACAATCCGTAAGTCTCACGAAACAAAGCAGAAACATTAAAAACTATTAGAAAACTACCGCGCAGAAAATGAAAATAATACAGTCGCTAAATATAATTTGGTACTTCGCTTACGCAATTTTCCCTTTCGTAAACGGATTTTGCCATTTGAGACAGTCGTTGCCTTTTTTTACACACGCGGAATGTTCAATGTGTGTGTGGGGATACTGAAAATGGTGGCAATTTCAAACCACAAATATAGCTAGCTATGTATTTTCTCATTGAGTGTTACATTGCTTTTATTAGGTTTATGAAAAAGCTCTCGATGAGCCAAAATACAGTTCACTCTATGCCAAGCTTTGTCTTCGCTTTTCTGAACTTGCTCCTAACTTCGATGACCCTGGAAAGGCTGGTCATTCTGTAAGTATAAACAAAAGATTTAGCACTAACAGCAAAATATATTATAGCTAACGACGAACTTCGGCTTGATCATTCTTCATATCATGTGAAAACCGAATTCAATAGTTGGTGTATTATTTACACGTATTTTAAAGACATTACAATTTTGAATTGTGCGCTCGAATTTGTGTCGATTTCACATTCCCGCTCCCTTGAGACCTTGCATGATGATTTTACTATTGGTGTGACTATCACACGTTATGTCGTAAATAGCGTGCATGAAAAAAGACGTTATTTCATATTAAAATTAATAAACAACGGACATTATGCCCCGTGATGGGGTCGGTCGTACGAAACCGGATAGGGCTATCCATCGGATAAGGTTTTTTTAACCGTTTTAAATATAAGTAAATTAGCTTGTAGGTCACCACGTACTGTATGTACAGTATTTATTAATGCAACGCTTTCAGTCCGTTTGCAGTAATAAATACTTACGCCTTTGCCTACAAGGTAATTTACTTACTCGATGTCACCATGCAAACATACAGTATTATTACGTATTAAACATGCCTAAAAAGCAAAAAAAATTATAGATTTAGAGCTAAAATTTATAAGACAACCCCAGTATATAAAAATAACACGGTTTAATCCAGAACAACTAGTCATTTTATACCGAACAACTAGTCACTTTTAAAACGATTAAAAAAACACTATCCGATGGAATAGCGCTATGCTGCTTTCGTACAAGCAGCCCCAGAACATTCAATGTCGCACTTATACTGTACGCTGACGTGTATTATCCGTGAATATAACGTCAGCGCACAGGCGTTACAGTTTACCTCAGTATAACTCGTACACATACATGTGAACACTGTACCTCAATCAATGTGATCAACGCTGGCCTGTTGCATCGTGGTCTTGCCTGTTACCTACAGTACATAATAATTTGCAAACGAACTGGTTTTCTGGATTTTTATGTAGACTTTCCGTCGTCTTCTGCTCAAGCAATGCGAGGAAGAATTTAACAGTCGCTCAAAGACCAGTACAGGTGAAATTACAAATAAAATCAATTTTGGGTGGACGGTTTGTTGAAAAACTGGTTATGCTATATAAATCCTGCTAAAGACATGCATGTACGCATGTGTAGTCTACCAACCCTATGTAGTTTACCACCAGTGAAATTCTCCTACATGCAGTCACTGTTTACCGATGGAGCATATTTGCATTATGCAATATACTAAATTTTGATCGAGGCAAGGGGTGCTAATAGCTATATAATCAAATCTGATTAATTGCCAAATTTGGTAAAGTGCTTTACAGTAGCTACATCCTTGGAATGTTTGCAAATTTTTTATGGATCTGCATGAGAAATATCTGTTGAAAATGCGGTATCAATTTCCGTGGGTAATAGAAAAGTTTGGAGGCAATTCCACTAAATCTGTGCAATTTCACGAATGTCAGCATGCTCAATCTAGGTAATAGGAATACCCTTTTAAAATGTCTAAAATGCAACTCGTCAATTTGGTTAAAATACAAAATTCAAGCAGGCAAAAAAGGTTCTGAGTTCGTTGTTTTGCAAGTGAGCAAAAGTGAATGCCCTGATAGATCATTTTTTTGTGTGTGTAAAACAAGGATTGACCTGCCATTATCACCAGCCCTGACTGATTCAAATGTGATCTTGCATTAGCTTTGGATAGAAAAGATGGCGTCCTTACCGCAGAAGAGGAAGAACAAAGAGCAAGCAATAAAAGAAAAATGCTTGGCAACATCAAGTTCATTGGTTAGTGCAGTCATTTTCAACATTGTCTGGTGTCGAGTATAGATGCGAACGAGTAATAAGTTACGAAAGCTCTGATGAGTTGTCCTATTTGGACATCCGTAACTAATTCACTCGTTCACATCTATCAAATGAAGAAAATCGCACTTTTGAAAATCGTACAAAGTGTAAACGGCGATATATCTCTGGTGTTGTTCAACAACTAGGGACTGTAATTTTTATTCTTGTCGCGGAACTGTGTGTATAAACGCTACTTTACACTGGCAATTGTTATGCGATTTTCGGCCTTGGATATGAACCACTGACTAGTTACGAAAACTCTGATGAATAAAAGCTCTTACTAACATCACTGTTTAACTCAATCGTTCACATCTATCAAAAGAAGAAAATTGCGTTTAAAATAGTTTTCATTCATGTTCTCCTCGTACACTGGAATTAATCTTGCTTCTTCTTCTAGGGGAACTTGGCAAACTGGGGATGTTACATGAAGCTATACTGCACAAGTGTATTAAACAGGTAAACCCTATATTCCTATAGCTATAGTGCTACTCCCTTTACTTAACTGCTAGGTAGTATACGATGATGATATGGTTACAAAATTTGTCACAAGGCTAGTACAGCATATGTCGGTCTTGTCCAGACTAGGAAAGCTGTTTTTCAGTCTATTGAGCATGCGAAATAGCGAGTTTAAGATGCACCAAATCTACGACGTGGACGTGATTGCTATACTGGTGTTAGGAATACTGGTGTTAGGTTATTAGCCTAATTTGTTTCAATACCGCTCTGACTTTGTTTTTCAAAAGGAGTCTATAATTTTCATCGCTGTTGGGAATCTGTGGAAATCTTCACAGTATTGCTTCACGTCCGCGTCGTAGATTTGGTGAATCTTGAAGTGCCTATATCACTTGTGGGATCTTTGCGGATTTAAATAGAGCTTGAAAAATTAGTTTATAAGTTCTACATCCCTTTTTGATATAGATAAATAGTTTCGGAAATATTTACATCTAAACATGACGATTTGCCTAAATTTCCGTCGTGCTCGGGGGCCTGGGACTCAGGAACCGAGTTCTAGTCAAACGTAATATAATCCATTGTAATTTTACTTCCATCTTCCAATAACGTAAAATATTTTAAGAAAAACTCGCCCAGTTGCTACAGCCATACACAACGCACCGTTCCCGCATTTTTTTCTTGAAAAGCGCAAACTATATCGCCAGTGAAACTCTTCATGTTTACATTATAAAAGACGGCGTGTTTGCAAATCATTCCTGAGTCCCAGTCCCCCAAACTGACGTATTTTCGAAACTATTCAATTATATTAAAAAAGGTTGTGGAACTTATAAACAAATTTTTCAAGCCCTATTCAAATCCGTAAAGATCCCACAAGTAATATAGGCACTTTAAACTCACTTCGGTCATGACAGGAATTCACAACAACAATTTCGATCTACTTCTTAGCTACTTGACAAGAAGAAACGTGCGACTGTGGCTGATATATCTGAGGATATGGAGTGTTTATGTCACTTGATGAAGACTGTGGGATCGCAACTTGATGTTGTCAAAGCAAGGGTATGGTACAGCTAAATTAAATATATTTCTGTTATAATATATTCAGAGTACTGTACGTGTTCCAATATAACCTTCACGGGAGCAAGGTAGCAGCGTCATCGTGCATTTAGATTCTGAGGTTTAAAGCCCCTGTAAGGTTACTTTTTATATATGTGCATGTGATTTTCTTCTTTTGATAGATGTAAGCGAGTGATTTATTTACTGATGTTTAAATAGAAGCTTTTATACATCAGAACATTGGTAACTAATTACTCGTTCACATCTATCAAAAGAAGAAAATCGCGCATTTATATTACCTATGCCTTAGACTGTTAATCAGCACTTATACAATATATAATTTTATAATGTGGATAAAAAATACGAAAAGACACGTGCATTTACTTGAAAGCAATGTTTTTTGAAAGATTTGAAGGGATACGGCAATAAAAATTGTCTCCGTCTATTTTAAAAGAACGTCATGATTATTTACAAAATTCGTTTACGGATTTTAGTTCACTTTATTACTTCTCAAGATATTTTTGAATGAAATTATTTTCCATCCGTATGCGTTACGTCATAAGCTAGGTGAAAATTCGTTTTTTGACTTCAAATTAACGATCCAGCGAAGTTATAGTTTCATTGTAGTACAATCGCACGTATTTCAAATTATAGCGTTTGAATTGTAAAAGTTCTAAACATGTAGTTGTTAGTTAAGCGTTAACCCTGCTTTTGACGTCACGTAATTAGATCTCATTATAAAACAAGATGGCGGATATATCTCGATATCCGATGTTTTTAATCGCCAATATCTTGCGAAGTAAGGATCTTGCGATAAACAAATTTTGTAAAAAGGCACTATAAAAAGTCTAAATTTTCTTTTCAACGAAACATGAATAATTTTTATTGCCATATCCCTTGAAGTCCATCTTTGTTAATGTTACCACTTGACTGCAGTCTTCACTGCCAAAACTTTGAACGTGCATTCAACGGATGTATTTTTGTTCACTAGCCATTGTTTGATCAGTATTTTGATCGTATACATCATATCCTGGAAAACACAGAACTTCCATCGCGTATCCGCTTCATGCTACAAGATATCCTGGAACTAAGAAGAAATAAGGTAGCTACACACCGTGCTTCCCCATCACCCTCCCTAATTTCTTAAAAGTAGCAACTCTCATACATGCATCGACCATTTGAGGGTGTTTATTTTAGCCGACGTCGTCGCGTCCCCAGCCTAAATCAAGGCTCCCCAATGTCTACGGGGGTGCCCAACCCTGCCTACCCCCTCCCCCACAAACCCACCACTATCGGCGTGTTGTTTAAATATGTTTTTCATTAAAATATGTTTTTCTGTACACAGTGGGTGCCAAGGCGTACGGAACAAGACAACGCCGCGCCGAGACCTATTCATGAAATCAGGCAGGAAGCATGGCAGGTAATCTACGATATAACACCAGCTTTTATCTAATCAATATGGAGTACTTTGTTGCTTAGTGTATGCGGGCTTTTTAAAAACCGATTTTTAAAAAGTCGATTTCCACTGCCGCGTTTTTTGGACGTACGCACACGTACACGCACGTAAAAGGTAAAATTTATTTAAACGATACCAATAAGTCGATGTTTGAATAATATGCAAAGGCTTGGATTAATGGATTTTGTTGATTGTTTTTTTTTACCTGGCTCACAATTATGTAATTAATTATATATTAATTGGCGATTAATGTCCACAATCTAATTTCCATGAACGTTTCGTTTTTATGCGCGCATGCCCTAAGTTTGAAAGCGGGAAGTTGGTAGTTATCGACTTCTTGGTTGGTCAAGAAGAAAATTAGCTTTTCTACTGAAAACGTCAAAAATTTGAATGTCATTTTAACCTTTTGAACCTTTGCAAAACGTTTTAAACTTCTATAAACCAAACAAAACGCTTTAGGTGCTGTATTATTACATAAAGGGAGAGACAGTTGTAAGACACTGGATCCAGTTGAGAAATTTCATGAATGTCATGCTGTAATGTGTTTAATTGTGTATCTTTACAGAGCAGGAAAGGGGGTATGTTGCCTGGTGATCCCATGTTCCCATATGGACCACGGTATAATAAGCGGGGAAAGATGACCACTGGTCGTGGTTTTGAGGATGTTTTCATGTCCGACTCAAGCTTTGATTCGTTCCTTCCGATGGAGGATTTTCGTGACATGCGCATAAACGACGGACCTTTTGGTGCAGGACATCCCTTTCCAACAAGGTAACTACGGTGCATGCTACTACGTTTCAAACGAGTCAATAGGGAGGTTAAGATCGGCTTCCGCTACGAGTACCGATACCAATAATCAGTCACGCGCATGCTCAGATGTGTAACAATCGTCCAAAATGTGACAACACTGGAAGTCGCGAGTACCGTTTTCGGGCTAAAAATGGATAGGAGAAGTACCGAATTATATTTACTGTATTATTGTCATTTTCTGCAGTAGTTTTCTAATAATATTATTTAGGTTTTAGTTGTATAATGTTTCTGCTTTGTTTGGTGAGACTTAAGGATTGTGATTAGAGTTTTTGATGTGAATACAGCCGCTATACTCCGCCATCTTTATTTACTTCTTACGGAAGTCACAATCTTAACGCTTTGAAATTTCCGCGCTGCCAAACTGTAATACGTCATGTATTTTCGTATCGGTACTGGTAGTGGAAGTAGATCTTAACCTCCCTACCAGTTGTGAGCGCTGTGAGTATAAATTCCGGCCAAACGTGCGGCTCATTATGTCTTCTTATCGAAAGATGAAAATAGTGGATGAAGTCGTCATACAGAAGGAAAAAGAACCCCCGCCGCCTGGGATTATACACATGGCCCTGTTTAAGAAGAAAGCTGTACTATGTCCACAGTTCTTCTTGAGTGACGAATAGAGATTATGTAAAAATCATGCACGACTTTTTAGAAGAATGAGCTGAATTGTATAAACAATAGCTTGTTGCTATAAAGCTTCTAGAGCTTCTGGCAACTGAGACATCCACAATTAGCAGTTTTCACAGTTGGAGTCGTTGTGATTGACTAGAATTAAATCAGTTCTGATTTATACATTAGAATAGTCAATACAGTTCATGCGCGGTCAGTTGATCAAAAGCCAGTTACCTTAACCCTGGGTTAATGCGAATTTACGCCAAATCAATCAATCTGCGTGTTCTTTCTGCTGTATAACAGATTCGATGAAATGCCTCCAGTACGTGCAATGAGGAATGAAGATCCTTACTTCAGTAACATGAAAGGAAGAAGCAGTCCTCCAGACTTCATGCCAAATTTTCAGTCCGCACCAAAAAAACCGCAGATGAACGAGGCGAGGCCGCGCAGAGTGCAGACTCAGAAAGGCCGTACACCCGATGGACAGGTTTGCATATTTTTTCGCTTAAGCAACCTCATTATACAAGATATATAAAAAGTACCCCGTATTAAAGTCAAGGTTACGTTAGAATTTGAATGCCTTAATCGAATTATTATGCTATTTTTACCAGTGCATTAGAATTTGAATAAATTCCAACTGAAGTTTCATTTCAATTGCTTGTACTTTTTTATACATCCTGTATATATAGGAACTAATTACTCGGGTACCTGTGGTAGGCGAGTCTAGGTTTCGCGCGATTATAATTATCTTTTGTTCGTGTCGCAGGCTTAGTCTTCCGCGCGGACAGTCGCGTATTTACAGTGCATCAATATAGCCCAGTTTCAGTGCAGTTTATTTACCGGCTACATAGCCCGAGTCGGCGGCTGTTTACATGAGCCCGGTTACCTGAGATTCAACGAAGCGTGAGATGATTTTGAGGTATTGAAATAAGCAGATAACATGATCCTGGTAGTCGTATAATCACCACAACAATAGCATGTACTTGTTTGGTGTCATAAAGACTGATTTCAATACCTCAAAGTCCTCTCACGCTTCGTTGAATCTCAGGTAACCGGGCTCATGTAAACAGCCCCTTCACGCCTACCGGGCGTCTTGTTATTTTACATTTTGCATGTGAATTAATTTACATTTTGCATTTTTATGTGAATAATTAAACTTCATTGCATCAAATGTGCGTCAAGCTATAGACCTTGTTAATCTCTTGTCATAACAATCGCCTACGTCTGCTTATAGCTAAATTCAGATGTATACTGGCAATTACACACTTTCAATGCCGCGTGGATTATTGCATATAACTGTTTGATTTCTTTCACAGATAAGTTTGCGTCCGGTTCGCGATTCAATTGTGGCACAACCAACCAGTCGCACTGGGCAGACTTCATCTTTGTCAAACCAACCAAGACAAACCGTAAGGCTTTCATTTGTTTCATTGTTTTTGTTTCATTATGACGAAAATGTTTGCCAACCGCTCCCAATTTAAATAAAGTTAAATCAATAAAATAAATAATGAAGTTAAAATTAATAATGATATTATATAATGTTAACTCTGAAACAATTTCCTTAACTTTAATTCAACTTTAATTCGACTGGGGTTCTTTATCAATCCCTTCTTCCAACTTATTGAATCAGCTAATTGTAAATTTCTCAAAACATCTTTCTAATCATCACATATATTCAAACTGCCGTAGCTACAGTATCATCAAACTACTCGTATACCGGTTTGTCAGTCATCGCATGAACATGATATTTATACACGGTTGTTGCATAAAGTCATTGATCTTTTTAGTAAATCACTTGAACCCGTAAATCTGAGCATGTCTCGGTTCATATATTCGTTTCTTCTTCCATTCTATGTAAGAACGGTCAAATGCCGGTTACTAACGAAAAGCCGAAACAAACCAAAAAAGCCTATTCTGCACCCAAAGTTGACACGGAGAAACTTGTAGTAAGTTATATTATAAAATAACGTATGTGATTATTAACGTGTGTTCTGATTGGCGAGGCCTGTGTTTGGAAATCAAACTTGGAACGCTCCCTTGAAAACAATTATACTTAATGGTTTCCCGTGTTTGGAGTGCCTGATCAACATGGCTGCTATTGCCTTCATGCACTTAGTTATATAGCAGATGAAAACGTTGCCCAATCTTGGTATATAAACAATGTTTCTGTCAACAAGCCCCTTATCTTTTTATTCTTTATCATTGCCAAGTCATTAACCTAATTATTTCTTTGATCAAAGTAAGAAGAATGAAATTTTAACACTTTCTTTCTTTTTTGTTCGCATGTCGCGTGAGTCATTATCTGTCTATATGCCTATATAGGCAATTCATTTTTTCTGTGTTGTTACAGGTGTCAATAATAGAAGAGTTTTTAAAATCAAAAAGTCTTCCCGAAACTATTAATTGTTGTAAAGACTTGAACTCGCCACAGTAAGGGCTCGTATTTTATTCCACATAGATTGCAAGATTTTAACCATATATAACAACCATCAGCGTGTTTATTTATCTTATGTCTTCATGTCTTTGTTACAGGGCAAAGGAATCGCTGATTGTCAAGCTGCTTCAATCCACACTGCAACAGAACGCGGAGGATCAGAATTTAGTTGCAGATTTGGTGAAAAAATGCTTTGATGAGAAGATTTTGACAAGCGAAAATATATCGAAGGTCAGATAAAAAAATTCAAAATGGGTATTGCAAGTTTTAATTATAAACTACATCGAGTTCATATTTTACGAATGGGTTGGTTATATATACATTGTTTTTAAACTATTTTCCCCATAATTGTAGGGTATGAAATCGTACATTCGCAATTTGTCCAATGCCGAGAATTCCGACGTTGTTAAAGCTTCTCTGGGAAAATTCTCATCCCGTCTTGTCATTGAGGTATATCTCATTATTTACTGTACTAATCAATGTTCACCACTGTTCAATAGTACTGACTGTAGTTCTCCATTTTATTACCTTGTTCAGTACTCTGATAGAAAGACAGTTCCACTTCTTGCACCATTCCTCGTTTCGCCAAAAAATATATCGCGGATCAAAGCGATGAATAATTATATGGCGAACAACAACATTTCGATGAAATGAAAGTAATTTCATATGAATCAAAATAGAATCTCTTGTCATAGAAATGACGACAAAATCAATTTCCTCTGCTGACTTCAGTAAAAAATATGCAATAAAGATCCAATAATATGTGGTAGAACATAATTTCTCTTAAAAATCAGCGACATGCAGCAAAATACATGGAGCATGTGTTAAGGTCGATACAGACCAGACGGAGTTTTCAAAAGCACACGCAGTAAATTCAATTCTGGAAGCAAAATTTGGAGTCTATGGACGTCAGAGCAATCAAATTGTATTATCGTGCATGAAATAATGAACAAGAATATAACGATAGGTTAAATCTTATTTGCTTTTGGGAAATAAAAAAAACTAAACGCGTTGCCAAATCACGTCCGGTCTGTGTTCTTGTGCTATTATTCCATTACCATGCATATATCATTACCTTTATTAGAATTTGCTTGACGTTAATACCACGAGTAAAGTGATGGAACCTGTTGATCTTTTGTTCCTACAATGTTTGAAAGATCTCAAGAAATTAAAAGGAGAGGTACAGATTCTTATCTTACGTTCAATCCTGCGTATCAATCTTGTGTGAATCAGGCAATATTGATTTAAAAAATTCATTTTACTGATAATGGCGCTAGTAACCTTTAAACTACTCCTATAAGTTGACCAAGAAGAATATTAAATAAAATTTTGAATTAATGAAGTCGTTGCTAGTCACATCGGTATTGGCCTGAGCAAATATCTCATGCCGAAAAATTCGGCAATGTTGTGTCAAAATGCTTTCCAACGTTTTTCTGCATGGAAATATGTTTATGGATATGCGCCGATTTAAGTTATAGTTAATTGCAATATCCTCTACATTCCCAGTTGTTTTTTGGTAGGGTCTTTCCTTCTAAAAAACAGCATAAATCACAATGTCATTTGTTATTGCAATCTATGCAATTTTTAGGACTGGCTCCTCGAATTACTCAGCAGCAGTAAAGTAAATTTGGTGAAAACTTTGCCAGGTATTTGGGATTTTTTGCGGGAAAATGCAAATAGTCTCGTTTATCGGGATGCACCAATAAACTCTAAAATATTTTCCACTTTTAGAGCAATATCGAAATGCTGAGAAAATGACAGAAATTCTACGTGAGCAAGTACGTTTATGTAAACTTGTGATTGGACTCGATCGTTACATGTATCGATTAGGATTAAGTTGTGTGACACTTTTCTGACTGCAAAAAATCGAAGTCCCATTTTTGTTCACCTGTTAATTACAGAAGGCCAGTTTACCACCTTCAAGAGATATGAATTATTCCAGAGTCTTTAAAATTAAAGTCTAAAAAACGTCCAGAGAGTATAATAAAAACATAAGTTTCGTAGTGGCCAAATTTACATTTCTCAAAAGTAGAATTGTATTGCAAGTTGCATGAAAAATTGCGCTCTTTACATTTATTAGAAAGTTCTATATAATGCCAGATCTCCCGTAGTATATAAAAAAAACGTGGTGTGACGTTTTATAGCTAACTTGTATCAGTTGTGCTAAACTGAAATTATTTCGTAGGGCTTGATATTTCTTTCCCCGCAACTGAAAGCTCAGACAGAATTGTTTAAACAAATACAAAGTGATTCCAATGTCTCCACTTTATATAAATGGATTAAGGTTAGTTATGCGGACATTACATGTTTTCTAAAATATTTTTTTATATTTGTGCAATTAAATCACACTTATTATTTTTGTAAAGGATAATATCGATGTAAAACTTCATTCCAGTCCAGAATTTGCAAGTGTTTTAACGACTTGGTAAACCAATTTCTCGTTTTTCGTATTCTTAAGATTTTCAAAGCTCTAAATTCGATTTAGAAATTCTAAAATGCGATTTAATCGAGTGCTTCATCTTGCTACATGCCTATTGTTTTCCCATCTTTTTAGCGTATTGAAGTATGTTACCATGACTACTAGCTTAGCTCCTGATATTGATCGGAATCAACCGTTGGAAAAGGAGGTTCAAGATCAGGAAAAATCGATGATGGAAAATATGAAGGTAAAATTTTGTAATCCTAGGCAATAATATTTCGTTTGATTTATAAAATTGATATATAATGGAAATTATGTGCTGTATTACATGTACATACACTATAGTTTTACTTGATCGATATTCAAAGTTACGTTAGTTTTTTCATAAAGTTCCTCCTGTGTGCGAATATTGACCATTTCACGGCCTATTTTTGCATTGCAACAATTTTAGACCGCAATCTTGAATGTTCACGGCAGTGAAATATCAAGAATAAAACAAAGGCTGATAAAAAAATATGTTAAGAGTTCTAAAATTCTCTCAATAATTACTTCGTATGAAAAAAACCTGTAAGTCTCAAAGTTAAAGGTATTCTAATTATTCTTTTTAGCCTCTTTTGCAGAAGTTCTTAAACGATAATGTACAACTCCAGGTAATTTTTGTAACGTTACATTCTTATGGCTCTTTATGAGTGAAAGTTTGATGGCAGAGCAGTGCTTTTTGTTCAACTGTTATTGTCATTTCAGGTCCGAGCCCTGTACGCGTTACAAGAATTCTGTCATTCCAACGATTTCCCTAAAGGTTTCTGTATATATCTTGTCAATATAAGTATTTATAGTTTTAACATATAAATATCATCCAATGATTTTTATATCTTTTTTAACCGCCATTTACGTGTCACATCACGTGTCACTATTTGATGACAAGATTATAACTTTTTTCCTGTTGCAAAAAGTTGGCAAACCTGGAAACCGTTCTTTTATTGTGATTATGTATTAATTGATTCACAACCTCAAGATCCTTCTTGAGTCAAAACTGCACGGCTTTGCTACCATTACAGATTCCAAAATTACAGCACCCATCTAGGTGTAGCGAAATTTTCAAGGCATCGTAGGGTTTGTGTCGCAGATGGGCTATTTGTTCACGTCCCCACTACAGCACTATCACCAGTTTTTAGGGCTGATCCATCATCAAATTTGTCTGCTTATTCAAAGTTTCCAACTTTATATTTCGACTTTGGATAAGTGCAGTTGAAAGAGTCTCATAATTTTTATACAGGATTGTTGTTGCGTATGTTTGTAATGCTATACGACCTGGAAATCATTGAAGAAGATGCCTTCATATCATGGAAAGAAGATGTGAATGACCAGCATCCGGGAAAAGGGAAAGCTCTCTTCCAGGTAAAAGAAAAAACGTTTTTTAAAAAGTGGAAGCTATACAGCTATAGCAAGCTTAATTTTCATTATTTCAACATATAATTCAAAACGAAGTTTGGGAAATGCCCCCCCCCTCCCCTCTGGGTGCGTAAATCCCGGACACCTCCCGGCAGGTATGTTTATTATGATGCTACCGACCAGGAAAGGATGTTACTGCGAATCCGTGGTATTAAATGCGCGTCGTTTCCTATACTATTCCTCTGATGCCTCCTTTTTCCTCACTCTTCGTGTATAGGTGAATGCGTGGTTAACATGGTTGGAAACTGCCGCAGAAGAGAGTTCAGAATCTGAACCCGAGTAAATCGTTATTTAGAAAGCCTAATAATTAATGTAATTTTTAATTAATTATAATTTGGAATTTTTTTCTGCAATTATGTTAGAATAAAATAATGATAACAAACAATGTCTTGTCAATTTTTACTATTTTCTGAATAAAATCTCTGCTTCATTGCGAGTTTGCGAGAATGCACGTACAAAGTTATCGAGATAAATGATCAATAATCCAGCTTTATAAAAAATACGCGAGAAAATTAACGACAATCGAGAATTCCAGCGATGGTCGAATTTTTTATACGAAAGTCGAATTTATTCGGACAGTAATTTCGGTCAGCGGATTATTACTTCGTGGACAACGGCGGCAAATATGGCGGACGTTGAAGAGCTCCAACCAAAAGTTGGTATCGCAAAGATTTGTTTTATTCACGGTCGCATTGATGGCTTTCGCCGATTAGTGATTTATTTATGTTGCTGTTAAAACAAGGAAGCTGGCACTGTACTAAACTCTTTTAAAAGTGGAGTTGAGAAGTTAGGTCACCATCCAGAATGTGTGGCGATAAGAGCGCTGAAAATTTTGACGTTCATGCTGGAAAATAGAGGCATGGAGAGAGGTAGTTTGATTGCTGGTAAAAGCGGTGTAAGTGGTTACATAGTATTACTGGTTAGGGGCCCTCAGCCTCACAATAACGAGTTCAATTACTAAGTTTTTCGCTTTATTTATTTATGACAAACTGTGTCATATAGTCTTATCTGAGAATTAATTAAAGACGATAGTGTGAATTTTACCAATTACATGAGTTTGTGCTTCAGCTCACTTTGATGCATCAACAAAAAAGCCTTTTATTGATATTTATGAAACGTCAAACACAACACGTAAAAGTAAACACCCGCGTAGTTAAATTCATAATAATTTCAACGAGTCATAACCCGTTCTATTATCAGTTTCCAAGGAATAATATCTTTGAACGAATAGTAAGTATCGCGAAGAATTTTAATAACCAGAAAATTATTTTAGAGTTTCCACCAAACTACCTCCGTCTTTAGCTGCCTTACATGCTTGTTCCCATTTATTCCAATCGGTGCATTTGGATGAAATATCATTGTCTTTGTAGAATGTGAACTTCCCCTTGACATGTTCACCCTGCCAAGGCATAGGACCAGACTCCTGGTACATAAACGTCGCCTCACACCACCTTGAAGAAAAAACCTGGTATAAGCCAGGTATCTCAATCTCGTATTTTAGCTAACTCAGCGCTCGGAAAGATTGTCAAAATAAAAGGCCATTCTGCAGTAGTTATTGAATTCTATTCTTAAATTTGTTCCTCATGGAATCAGTGGGTATTTTATGATAATGTTTAGTTATAAGAACTATAGCTCAGACAAATTTGAAACAAAAATAAAGTATATTTAAAGGGCTTTGAAATAAAAATCATGAAAATTAAGGTTGCAAAGTTGGTTCGGAAATACAATTATAGCAGTCTTCCTCGATCAACCAGGATTTTGTTACACATTCACAATTTTGGGAGACTAACTCGCAACTAAACCAGAAAAACGCGCACTTTTAATATTCATTTTTTTATGCAATTTCCCTATTTCGGTATCGTATAAGACGAAATTCCCCCTTGTTGGGTAATTATATAATTGTATGATTAATAATTTCTATATTTGTATATAAGACATTTAATATGTGGAATAACACTCACAACTGCCTAAAATATGGGCAAAAACACCTTAATCTCGACGAAGGCCATTCCCTGGCTTCTACAGCATATTAAACTGTTTCAGTCCGACCATGTTGCGCGGTCACCTAATTCTTATAGCTTATGAAGGTACTGGACTTTTATTGCGTTACCTGTGCTCAAACCCAAAGCCTGTTCTTAGCTCATCTCCTGGGTTGTTTATGCCTGTCGCCCTGAAACGAACTTCATGATTGCTAACTGGAAACATTACCGTTACCTCCGGCCTGTTCACATGTACTTTCACCATGTGTTCCTGGCTAAATCGGTCAATCCATTTGAAACCGCTTTGTGGTGCTTCACCGCAAAGACGATCCTCAGTATAAGAGCTCCTGTCCGCAGTAATGCCAGTCTCCTTTATTTTAAGATAGTTTGGGCCGGTATGACTCATTTTGTGACTTCGATTCTGGAATAAATTTCAGCTTACAGATATTCTTACTCGTCGAAACAGAATTTGTGAACTAAATAAATACCAATTTATAATTGCGTGCTGTTATATATTTGCGTGTCGTGAGCTGTTATTATTTACATACATATTTACGTCAGTGTTGCTATGACCAAAACCTATAAAGACAAAGAGATTTTGTAGATAAATAGCTTATTATGAAAAGAATTTTTGCAAATGCACCATCCGAAGCTATAAAAACATTAACTTTTATCAGTAGTAAAATCTCCATACTTTTTCAAAATAAGAACTTAGTCTTGCGAAAGGCTAGTCTCGAAATGAATCTGCCATTTGTAGGAAATAAAAGCGAATAAAGAAACTCTAGAGAATTTAAAGTGCACGAACAATGGAATCAAAACGCATCATTATTCCCACGATTCACGACGTTGTTATTTTAACCGCCAATAGTGGGCGTCTTGGCGAGGTTGAATAGGCGAGCAAGTCTTAATTAATGTAGCTAAATTAATGTAGACCTACTTGCACCCTACACATGGAAGATCTATGTGTATATGCATGTATAGCTATGGCAGAATAACTTAGATTTAACAAAATTTGAGAGCGAGATGTATTTCGTGGCACGATGCTACTGAGAACTTATAATTCATGGTGTCGGGAATTATTAACTGATTGTTATTTTAATGGTGTATTTACGTTAATGTTGCCATGCCTAAAGCCAAAGACATGCAGACATCAATGGCCGCTTATTATACAAAATTACAAAAAAGCCGAAGTATCTTATTTATGATTCAGTGACAAGAGCATTGCACCGGCATCGCAAATGCGTAGGTTCGATTCCTGCTGGAGGACCTATAGTATACTAATTCTTCCATCAACTGTTCCTGGCTTGAATTTGAAGCGTGTATGATTCCACTCGAAAATAAAGACCCTTTCAACCTCTAGAATTTACCCACATCGAGTGAAGTGCCAAAAATCATATAGAATAATATTATTTATTTCAAGCCTCGTAGAATAATCAAATATGATTAAATTTTCGTTAATATCCACACAGCCACAATAATAAGATTATTGATACCAATAAAGTAGAAAAAGAAACGAGCCAGTTCTTCTCGGGGAAAAATAACAAGGGCAAAATAACTAAAAATACCAATTAAAAGAAACCATTTGGTAATAAATGAGTTGTCGATTAACAAAAGTAGTAATAAATTAAAGATAAAAGAAAAGAGTGCCGTACATCGTTTGCCAAATACTATAGCAAATGTTTTTGTATTGGTTGCTTGGTCCGATGAATAATCCATGATCGTCGTGAAAGCGTGAAAAGCAGTGAAGGATATTTCAGGAACGCACTTGTGAACTGCCACGTCATTTATTGCTTTGTCGTAACTGAAGCCAGCGAGAAATAGACAAAATACAATAAAACCAATGCTAATTGAATCAAAAGGTGGCCTTTCTTTTAGTCTGACAGGTGGCATAGAGTAGGCATATGACAGAATTAACGAAACACTAATTCCAAATATGTTCAGAAAATCCTTTGTTAGGAGTGCCGTAGTGAGGATTATAAATGAAAACAAATGAGCTGTCTTCAACACAAAGGAATGATGCCTTGGATCTAGAGCAATTCCTTCTATTTCTCCCTTAACATGTTTTCTTGGATTGATCCTGTCCGTTTCAAAATCAAATACGTCATTGATGCCATATGCCACAAGATTGGCTGGAAAGGAAAGAACTATCAACTGACACCACGCCAACCACGTCAAATGAGTTGCCTGAGAAGCTGCAAATCCGTGAAAGAAGACCAGAGGTCCAAAAATCCATCCTATCGGTCTACTGACCCTTAACAAAAGGGCTATCTTCGAATGCTGCATTTCACAAACATTAATCTACAAAAGAAGGTAACTATGATTTATTTTGTCTATTCGGGGACAGAATACCTATTATCAGAAGTGTAACTAGAGATTATGCACATGCCACGACACCTGCCGGACTGATGACTGCCTGTGAATTTTTTGTTATTTCTGCCGTTTTAGTAGTAATATGTTGGCTTTTAATTGATATAAATTAATAAATTTATTTCAAATGAATTTTGATCTCCACAAATTAGTTAAACATGTCACACGGCAGACACCATAAAAGCAATGACGTAATGAAAAATTACGGATATCACGCAATAAACACTTGCGAACAAGATGGCTGCATTGGGACATTTTTATTACTGAGATGAACATCTGTCCGTCTTTCATCGATGATTCGGGCAGCTACGGCAGTACTGTTCTGGTAGGGCAGTTTCTGGGATTCAAACCATTACCATGGTGCATGATCTAGAGAGACTCTAAAGCCGCGTTTACACTTCAGGCCTAGACCTGTCCGGGACCAGGTCTACTGGGTGTCCCAGAAAAAAGTACTCCGGTTTGATTCATAATAGCTTCTATCTATTATGCTAAGCTATCTAGCTAAGCTATTAAACTGAAATAACTTTCACTAGATAGAGGGAAGACTAACTTAGGTTTTGATATATTACAGTTGTATTTTACTTTAAAATTTACGGAGATATCAATGTTCAAAATTGGTAGCATATTTCTGGAGGTGTCTAAATTATGCAAAAAACGCCGTATCAAATGTTAATCAATATAATTTAGACACATCCAGAAATATGCTACCAATTTTGAACATTGATATCTCCGTAAATTTTAAAGTAAAATACAACTGTAATATATCAAAATCTAAGTTAGTCTTCCCTCTATCTAGTGAAAGTTATGTCAGTTTAATAGCTTAGCTAGTTTAGAAGCTATTAATAATCAAACCGGAGTACTTTTTTCTGGGACACCCGCGGTAGGCCCGCAGTCTAGGTAATATGTACTACGTTCATCTTGTCTTTCTTGTTGATGATATCGGATAGCCAAAGCAATTGACAAAATACTTGGAAAAAGACCCAAAACATGCCGAAAAGTGGTAATACTATATGTATCCTATACAAATCATACTATTAAGTTCAAAAAATTTTCCGGACTAGGTAAAGCCTGATGTCCGGGCCTGGTCCATGGCTACGTTCTACTGACGGCATAGATTTTGTGTCCTAAACCAGGTCCAGGCCTGGTCTAGGCCGGATAAACAACGTTCACATCTAGGCCTAGGACTGGTCCAGGCAAGGTGAAAGCACGTAGTCTAAACGCGGCTTAAGAGAAGCAATAGAGAGAATAGGCAAATATTCATCTTCCCGCTTCTTAATTATGCCTGTTAATGCCTACGGATCGACCACCTTATTCTTCATTTGAAATCGTCCTGTACGATGGCTTTTTAGCTTAACCCAGTTCCTAGTCGAATGTTTAAATATTTCATTTAATCCCTGATCCCAGTGTTTGCTATTTTGGTTGCTACTTATTTATGGTCTTTTATGGAGTAGTTTGTTCGCTGATCTATACAGTAAACCTTTGGAGTAAAATTTACCTGGTATTGTAATGCGGTTCAAAATTTATCTCTTTGTTAATCGACTTTGGATTTTAGACATTGTTGATCAGTTATATACTGCTCAATATTGAAGATTTTTACGGCCTTTAGGACATCTTCATCCTTCCCCATCGTTATAATAATGGACGCACAAAGTTAAAAGTTGGATAACATTTGGCTAATCGGCATTATAATTGTAACCTTGTTGCCAAATCAGCTACTACACACATATAACAATTTATTATATTGTGACGTAATGCCTACTGACTCAGCCTAGAGGAACTAGCTATGTCATTTCGTTTCGCACATGCCTTTCGTAGAAGTACCTCAGACCAAGGTGCATGGCTATAGCTTGGTTGTGTTCAAACGTATTATGTTTCGTTTATATTCAAAATGTGCCGTTATTATAGCAATAGTGCAAAGACTCAGGTGCATATATTAAATGTGCTACTCTGAGTCACCACCTAGGTAAGCTGAAAAAATAGCTTGATCACGGTTGGAATAGAACCTACGACCTTTCAATTGGTTTGCTAGTCCAATGCTCCAGCGTGGTCAAGCTAATTTTTCAGGCTACCCGGTTGGTGACTCAGAGTAGCAACATCACAATATTCATTTCATATGCCATTATTATCCGAGCGCATTGCATGCAGGTACAAGTGAAGGAATGTATAAGAGCTACCTACCACAATGCAACACGCATAGCAAAATCGATATTTCCCTTGTCCGCTCGCTTCAGGCTCGCTCGGTGCGGCAGCAATTACATGATGTATTTTCATGTGCGGACATGCCTAACCGCTAGCTGCCCTCAGCGTTTCTACAATCTGACTAAGGGAATTTTCCAAGAGAAAAAAGCATTTTATACAAAGTATTGCAGCTCTCAGTGCTCTGCAGTCCGCAGGGCGCTAACATACTGCTGAAATTTGTTTATTACAATGACGTCATGTGGAAAAAATTGCCTATTATTCTCATTATTTCCATTTTTACCCATCATTCTCTGTTCCAAAAAAGTCCCCTATTATTCTAAAAGAAATTCAGGAATAATATGTGTGTCCCTAACTACATTGTACTTGTGCAAATATCATCATTCATAAACAATGTCATAGAATAAATAAATTGTTTAAGTTTAATTGTATTGGTAATAGAATTCATAAACCTTGAACATTTATCAAATGTTGGCTTTTTGGACCAAACTGAAATTAATTCCATTGTGTGTTGTTTATTAGTAATTATAATTCAACAAATGCCAGTGATGCCACCGAAGATCACAATTTTTATATTGTCTCTCTTTGCTCTAGTTTGTAGTCCCTTTGCTGTTCATCAAAGTGCTTAAAAAGTTTTTTTGTGGAAATGAAACTGCTCCTTTAGAAATTGAATGCCAGTGGCCCACATTTTTTTTTACATTTAAAGGCATCACTTATGACATGATATTCCTTAATAGTGGTGACTGGTGAATGAAATTATTGCTAGTATAGATTCTTAGTTTATTACTTGTCATGGTAATTAAAGCACATAGTCATAGACTTTTGGGTTGGATATATATAGTCAGTGAAAACATGCAGCCTTTGTCACCATCATCATGGCTATATTACTTGCCAACCCCACAAGTGGCCTTCATAGGGTCAACTGAAATAGGCTT